CTACACAGACTGTTCCAGGCCAGCCTGAACTACCTACCAGGACTCTAGCTCAAAAAATAAAAACATGAATGAAGCTGAGCATGGTAGTACATACCTGTGATTCTAGCACTTGGCAGGAAGAGAACTTCAAGTTCAAGACTAGCATGGCCCACTTAGGGAGTTCCGGTCAGCCTGAGCTACGTGATGAAAGTGGGTAAAAGCAACAACAACAAACCCTCCAAACAATCAAAAACTTAAAAGATTCCAAATTCTGAAACAGATATGACCACAAGGATTTTGAATCATGGAACCCGGGCTTGTGCCATAACCTTGTCCTACATCAGGTAACACAGTTCCATTCTATGGTGCTGACTCTTGAGCCCGTAGAGCCCCTCGGCTCTAGGGAAGTTTGTTTTCCATACATTAAGAACAGAAGGATTTCTATCCAGCACCTTCCCACCCTCTCTGCTCTACTGAGTTTAAGCCCACAAGAAACTTAACAACAAACCCATACAGCTAGTTAGCACACAGGTGAATTCAGAGGCAGTGTTTCCTGGGAGAATGTCTGATTTCTCCCCACCAGGAACTCACCGTGTAAACAAACAGCTAGAATGAAGTCTCGGTTCCTCAAGATCCTGTGGGGCCATGTGGAAGAGCAGCAAGGGGCAGGAGCGCCAGTTCTCTGACCTCCTGTACCACCGCAGTGTGGGTGATAATCTAGGCCTAGCCATTTCCCGCCAGCGGCTCCTGCTGCTCCTTCCTCACTTCTACTCAGAAAAAAAAAATCACTATGTTTGCTTGGCTGATAAACCTGTTTTAATAAGGCCTGTGTGTTTTGGGTGGTCTACAAGGAACCTCTGAAGGCATAAATTGCATCTTGAAAATGTGTCTGCCTCAGGTCTCTCGGGGATTGAGCTGCAGAAGGATTTGCAAGGTTTGCATTTTTCATTCATTAGAGCAGAGTTGCTGCCAAACTTCCCTTCCTGTTAGTCACACGGAGAGGAGGGGTCATTGCAGCGGGTGGCTGTAAATTACTCTAGAGCTCAGCAGCCAAGGTGTAACAGGCCAGGGAAACAGAAAGCTTGGCACGTCTTGTGACTAATCTGTGAGGAACTCACATGTCAACTGAGAAATGAGAGACAGAGCCTATCTTTAAACTCGGCAAGCCAAGCACTAAGCTTGCCCTTTATCCAAACCTGTATGAGAAAGTCAGAATTAACTGACTTGTAAACAACCTAGTTTTTCAGAAAGCGATTGAAGACATGGTCTTATGTTGCTCAGAATGGCTTCAAATTCTTGAAGCTGAAGCTGGGCCTGCTCTAGAGCCCTGATCCTGCCTATACCTCCCTAGTGCTGGGAGTGTGCTCCTTCATCCATAGTGTGGGAGTGTGCTCCTTCATCCCCAGTGCTGGGAGTGTGCTCCTTCAT